GAAACTTCGTTTGAGTACGCTGTTGAGAGAGGCTTAAACATGCTACCGTCAAGAGGCTGCAGCGTGTGGGTTGAGTGAGGAGGATATACTGCGAGGAGGATCTTATGCTCATCACAATACTTAATAAAATCCATTGTAACGTGAGATCCATGGCCGTCAAGGACGAGTAATCGATAGGAGGATCGAGCCTTCGCCTTCGTACTACGATCAAACACCTGCTGCAGCCACGCGAGGCCTATCTCATTGTTCGTCCATCCAGAAGGTGATGAAGATATTCGAATTTGGTGGATGTCTGGATCAAGGGCCTGCAGCCAGGTGTCCTGTATCGATCCTGAGGCTGATTGATATATGAGGGCAGGCTCAAGGCAAGATCCATCTGCGCAGATACAGGCTAACAGCGTTATCCACTGGCGTGAGCCATCCTGTATCGTAGTCCTCCTCCTTATGCCCTCGTACGAGGCCTTACTAAAGATCCTCCTTGAACGACTTACGATACCAAGCATAAAGCCCTTCTCATCCATATTGTAGATATGACGCGCCTTGACGTGATATTAATTAATTTTATCGCGTAGGAGGCTAAAGTAGAGGTTGTATTTGCTTCTTAAATCTGCTTTGTGGCGACAGTTATCAAGGCCTTTTGCCTACCTTGAGGTAAGTTGATCAGGATAGCGCTGGACGAAGCGACTAGCCCAGTGTACTCCAACCTCAGTCTTGGCGATCTGTGAGGCAAAATTGCGTATCATTGGCTAAGTAGGTGGTAAGCCTCTATCTGTTAGTCGATTGATATAGGCGATTAGGGCCTGCTCCTGCTATAGGTGGAGGAGCTGCCGTTTTTGGCCACCTATCGCGCGTGAGGCGTGTAGGCCTTGGTGTCTTTAGGTAAGCGTAGATTGAACAACACTATATTTTTTTGCAATATCTGTATACGAAAAAGGCTCATCAGGTCCTAGGGCATTAATAGCTGCAAGCGCAGCCTCAATATTAGCCATGGTGGTGGGGATACGACGCGTTGAGGTTGAGGTGGTTGTAAGGCGCGCGCGCACTTTGTGGTCGCGCGCACTTTGTGGTGGGGCTAGTTACAGTAGCTTCGCTCCTATGTTATGAAATTGGAGATCGGAGGTTCCTATTATTGCCAGGGAATATACTTTATGACATAGAATTTCTGTCAATGTACATATGTGTTGGCACCAATGTGCCTTTCTATGTAGCCGCGACTTATTTACAAATTGATCGCACATTATGCGACATCATCTAGTCACCCTGACCCAATCTTTCCGCCATAACAGCCTCTTGCTTCTCGCTTACGTGTGCAAACTCCCTGTATCGCTGCTCTTCGTCCAGCTTGTTAGTCCTAACAACCATTCTATTCTCCTTGTTCAAGCCCATGCAGATCCTCGGCTTCTCGTAGAACATGACATCTATCTGCTCCAGCGTCCTTCCAGATGTCTCTACGCCGAAAAAGTACGTCAGAGGCACAAAAGACGCACAGACAACAGCCCAAACCCAAAAGTAGTGGCCTTTGATGTTGTCAAGACCAATGGGTGTCACCATTACGACGACAAAGTTGGACATCCAGTGAGAGAAGACGCCCACGGCTGTGGCTTTGTTCCGGACACGAAGTGGCTGGATTTCGGCCGAGTAGGACCACGATACCGGCAAGATACCAAGAGTAAAGCAATCGAGATATAAGAACATAAAGGCAACTGCGGCAGCGGCACTTGCGAAGCTATTTTTCGCGAGACAGCCAGCGACAATGGCCATGCAAACCGCGCAACCAGCCGAAGACCCCATCACCGACCATCGTCGTCCAATCTTGTCAATGTAAAAGTATGGAGGCCAGGAGAATATAGCGTATTGGGTGAATGCAACGGATGCGAGGATGAGCGCCATGCTCGGGGAGTAGTCAAGATACTCCTGGAAGATGTAGGCGAGGTAGTAGCAGAGGGCCTAGCACAAAGTTAACACATGCGATAGGAGCTTAAAGTGTAAGACCTACGTTGATGCCAGACCATTGGTTCATCATGTATGGACCCATACCAAGCAAAACGCGATGCAAGTTTCGGGTTTTGGTAGCGTTGCTGAAGACCTCGCCCCAGCTGGGCTCTTCTTCGCTGTTTTCTGCTTCGATCGCGTCGAGAATTTCCTGGAGCTGACCTTGAACTTCCTCATCGTCGAGAGGTTTGTCGAGCAATCGGCTGATAGTGTACTTGGCCTATCCGCAATGTCAATTTCGGACTGCTAGCGTGCATTCGTTGTAATTACCTCATCAATTTGGCCACGAGAGGCCAGCCATCGCGGCGTTTCGCACAAGAAAGGCGTTAACGCCAGTACAAGAAGTGAGAACAGAATTTGGCAAGCAATAGGGAAACGCCATTGCAACGAGCTATTGGCATACAGTGTCGCGAAGCATAGCCAGGAGGCAACTGAAACACCAATGATGATTAGTGCAGACTGCACCACCAGTAATGCACCACGATTGTGCGCAGGTAGCGTCTCAGACTGTAGGATGGGTACAGCAACCGTTGAGAGCCCAACACCGACGCCAGCAATGATGCGGGAGACAAACATTTGCCTTTATGCAATGTCAGTATTTGCCTCGCTAAATTTTGAAATGTTGATTTACGAACCAATACTCGAAACTAGCCGTCTGTATAGCAGCCCCAACGACCACAATGAGATTGGCGAGGATAATGGAACGCTTGCGCCCTATCTTCTCTCCATAGATGAAAGCGACGACAGCCCCTAGTGCACAGCCGATATCGTAGATGGCTGTGACGAGGCCAGTCATTGTAGCATCTGGATTGCCAAGTGTATCCTTGAAGCGCTGGCCGCCCAGGATGCCACCAAAGAGGCCTTGATCATCTTAACGGACAGTCAGCTCTCGGTCGTTTAGAACACGGACCTGGGGACGAGTACTCACATCCAAAGAGAAGGAAATCTAAACCAGATGTCAGAAGAATGATGGAGATGAGCTTCTTGCCCCTCAACTCTAGAAAACGCATCGTGACGTCCTGTAACCCGATGCCTTAGGAAAGCAGGTAATAAGGACAAAGCAGTCTAATGGATAGATGGAAACCTGAATCATGTCGCCTACTCTTTATATCCGCGAGTAGAGATGGAGGTGCCACGGCTTCCCCTGTCGAGCCTAACGCACTCGTGGATTAGACCAACATGATAACGTTTGCCAATGTGGAGACATAGACAGTCCGGGGAATTTGTGGGCCTGCGGAGAAGTTGCCTTGCACTTGGAAAAAGAACTTTGGTGGGGGAAGTTGATAGGCTACACTAAGTAAGACCAAGACTTGTGAGGGATCGTCATAAAACGCCAGGCTGGATGTCGTGCGGGGTTGCCGGTTCAGGGATGCCGTGTCTTGGTTGCGGACAAGACTTCGGCAAAAGCGCCGATTCACCACAATTGGCGTTTGGACTATGGGGGCTTCTGAACTTGTGATCGTAACTAGCGTACATCCAATGCACAATAGATTAATGATCGTGTGGGGATTTGGGGGATGAGGGTACGTAGCTAGTCACATGTGTTGAGGGATGAGGGCAAGCCGCCAAGACGATACTATGGCCAACAAGCGTCATTTTAATGCGCCTTTGCACGGGCTTGAGCTATGGCACCTCAAGATGCATTCATCATTGTGGATATGGGTTTCCGTGGGTGCATGCGAACAACCCCATACGCTGACCTGTCGCGTTGCTCGACGACGGAATCTGATCCACTTTCTTTCCCCAAACAGCACTCGTATTGGCATCACAAAGTTTGACAAATACATGTAAGCAGTGACTGCTTCACGGCGAATACTGTTAGTGTTCCATGAGGAACCTCGAGAGTAGGTAATGGTATGAACTGTACAGTAAATGCTGTACCGACAGAAAGAGAAGTAACTATACATGCGTGAGCTTCCATAGAACACTCAACACGTCGGAAGCGCGCCACCAGGCCTCAGTTCGTTTTGAACTTCTGACAAGCTTTCTCCAAACTCTTACTACAACTTCCGCGGATCCGCTCCAACTCTACTCCAACGCATGCAACATCTCTCTAGTCGCGCTCAGACTCTTACTATCGCCGTATATGGCTGCAATAAGGCTTCCGTCGATCTTGGGAAACTCGCGCTGCAGAATTTCAACATTATCATCGTCATCATCTTTCCTTCCTCTTGCTTCGTAACTCTGCATGACCTCAATCTGATGAGAACGGTCCTGTCCCGTAGGAAGTGCCATTTCCGTGGCTGTACGGCGAGGTGGCAGAACAGGCGGTGCCTCATCTTGACTAGGATGGAGTGGCTGACCCTGGAAAGGCTGCTGGGGGGTGTTCTCTTCATAGTATGAGTGCTGAGAAGTCTCTTGAGGTTGAGGCGGCGCCTGGGAGTTGTAGGATGGCGTGTGATCAGTCTCTTGGCCCCACGGAGATGTATCCTGTTGCTGAGGGGGATGCTGGCCGAGAGGATTCAAAGCCGGCTGCTGAGCGTAAGGGTTTGTGGGCGGATACTGGTACGCTTGGTACGGATTCTGGCTTTGGTAGCCTTGCTGCTGCTGACTGCGCTGATCCTCCCATGGGTTGTCGTTGTTGGAAGTCATCTTTGCAATTCGTGGACGCTTAAAGGTGGCTGGAGGGACTGTGAGATGTTTGGACAGATGTCACGGAGCAGTGGCTATAAGAGCAGGGTATCTTTGTGGCTGTGTGGTTGTGGACGGGTACGTGAAGGCGCGGTTGATGACGTACGCTGTCTGCGTGCACGTGCCTCACTGCCCCGCCCCAGGCTTCCCGCGCAGAAATCTGCTGACAGGAAGGCAGTGCTGCCCAAAGTCTCGTGATACATGATTACGTTATATGCTTCACCACCGATCGTTCCGGTTATGACTAATCAACATATCTTTATCACCAAGTCTTGTGACTGTCTTTTCTACTTAGAATTACCCGACTTTGGCCCCTAATCGCATGGGCAGCGCGCAAGTATATAAGCCCTTACTGTACTCTAAACACTACTAAGTGATTTTGGACGGGCCTGCGTGCAGCCATGTCATCACGGACATTCTAACAGGCGCTTTGCGCTCCAAGGAGGCTCAGTTTGGTAGTATCGCCCATGTTTCCTAGTAAATCCATTTCAGTGGTCCAGAGCTTCTTACAAGGGCCCAGTAAATCAACTCGGTCTCAGTTTGATATATACCTCGACCGACCTAATATTATATCCGAACTCGCGACAGTACTAGTCCGGAAGGTCGCCCAGTTGTCTAATACGAGTCGTGTTAGGTGATAAAGGTTTACACTGACTTCCACTCTGGTGGACAGGGTAGGAAGTAGTTGCATCCTTTTTTTTCTTTTTAGAGTTATGGTATATGTGGGAGGAATAATGTGTAGCATTGTTGTATAATGCGGAGGAGATCTAAGGCGGCGATACTTCTGCCTACTAGACAAATGTCCTTTGTATTTTCCAATGATGGATGCGCCACAAACTTGTCGCTGTGACACTACTCCCTGAGAACACAATTTCAAGCTATAACATCTTGCCCCGAATCACAATCACTTGGAATGGATGCACAAGTATACTGCTAGTCATCCAAGTCTCTAGGCGAATCTGGCGCAAAGTCTCAACTTCGCATACTGAATATGAAATGCACGCCGGGATATGAAGCTTATAAATCCCAGTATCGTGACTGGATACTCCTCAACAGTAGAGGAATTTCGAAGATAGTGTAGCTAGCACTCTTGCATAGAGTGCTAGACGGTAGCGACAAACTGCCCATAGCTATTCCATGGAGGAGTAGGAAATTAGCAGTTGAGAAATCATCTACGTAAGCGTAATTAAGAAATGAAAATATTCAACTGTATATCAAGCTGCTACTGATTTTGTCGGGGTGAATGCCAGTCTGATTGCCATCGGCGAAAGAGAAATAGGCCATTCCTTTTTCGTGTTAGCGTCTATAGGTGCGACAACCCCACACGTTCATCGCAACGACCGACACGAAGAGATCCCACTTATCATGCGTGATTTCCAAGCCGCATTGCAGGTACATCATGAGAAACCACGATTCGCTTAACGAAGCCAAAAGTGCGTGCTTCTAGTTGTTTATGCAAGAACAAATCCCTACGTCATTGACCTGCTAATGTGGCATCCCAGCTGGACGCGCGACATCGTTACAGGACCTGCCGGATGAGATATTATTGCAGGCCTTCTCGTATGTCGATCTGCACCGCAATGCCCGCATCATGGGCTACATGCCGGATGATCCACCACCCACATCGCCTGACCAGTACCTACTTGAGGATTTCCGGGTCAACAGTCGCTGGCTATGCAACATTGCTTTGACATGTCGCAGATTCGCTGCGTTGGTTCCAGAAATACAGTTACATGCAATGGTTCTGGATGCCGATGTTCCGTTAGCAGCTTCTGGTCCCTCCGGTTCTGATGTCTTCACTGCAATCCTTCGACTCCTTGCGAAGCCCCAGCTCAGCCGTCATGTCAAACAACTGCGCGTTCATTTTGAATCTATGGAGGGTATTCCGTCACAGAAAGTTCTTGAAGAAGTACTCAAGATATTAAATTCTCTCCGTCTCCCCTCCGCTTCGACTGACCACATCCACGACACGTTACGTTACTCTGGGTGTGGCCGTGGTTTGTTCAAGATATTGCTGGCACTCTTACCAGAACTACAACGACTTTGCATTGTCGATCCATGGTCCGACATGAGTTTCGAATGGGCAGAATCTCTGCCCATTATCCATTCACTCCAATATTTCAAAATTGAATGTCCGGAACCTCCTACCATGGAGGGTTTTGGCGTCTTCCAACAGCTGCGAACATTCGACCTGAGCATCAGGCTACAGGGCCAGTCACATTCTGCAGTACGAGCATCTTCAGAGATGTTCATTCATCACTCAATGGCCAACAAAACATGCAACATAAAGCATCTACGTCTTGACTTCCAAATCAGGACAGTCGGTATCTGGAACCACACTTGGAGAATCTGTATGTTGGACGTTCTAGCAGGCTTCAAAAATTTGGAAGCTCTTTCCCTTTATGCAGAGTCATCGGCAGGCAAAAATCCTTATCGCAGCGTCCGAGCTTTCCCAGCCTACCAAGCAAACATACAGGCTTATCCTGAGGCGCGGCCGTCTTGTACGGGAACCAACGATTTTTACTGGGGTATTGCTTCTTTTGTCTAAGTTTCCCAAGGCAAATTGCTAACACGAGTCAAGATGGAGCTATATACGACGCCCGAACAGAAGTCACCGATTACCAGTGTCTCGTCGACCATCTCGTGCATCTACGCCCTACACTCAAATCTTTGCAACTTCCAGGTGGATTCTGGACACTGCCTGGCGCCCTACGCAAGCCTATACCGCGTTTTAAATTATTCAACAAACTGGAAAAACTCATTCTGCCCCAATCGGCTATCGTCTCTATCAAATTGGATAACATGCGTGTGGATATTGCGTTCCACGGCGACTTTGAGCTCTCTGCTTTGGAAGCCTTGCCTCTGTCGCTGAAACACCTCAAGATTTTCGATGTTGATGAGACATTCCTGACCAGTAGCTGGCTCGAGGGACTTTTCAAAGAACAGAAGAGCCATAATCACTGGTCTGACTTTCATACCCTGGAAATCTTAATGGGCCCGATGTGTTCTAATGAGGCATTGGAGGAGCTTCTGGCGAGGCGAAAAGGCGAAGAATTCTGGGCGATGGCAGATGCAGCTGCGTTTGAAGTGGTTGTTGGTAGGGATGAGGAGGATCCTGAGAATTCCGAAATTTAGACCGTTACTATCTGTGGTTCTTTACTCAGTCTTTCATTGGAAAGATCCCAAGTTGAGTCTTCTAAGCAATACTATATGTTTCATCATCGGAAAATTTGGAAGTAGAGAAATAACAGTGGAGGTGGTATGTAAGCTTGATTGACCGGTAGTGAGAGAGGCCTGCGGCAAAGCGCAACACCGTGGATTAGCTAACACCAGATGGCGGTCCCCACCGCTTTTAATTCTATCCAAGCCTACTACCGATGATTTCCTTGTGTGACCTAGCTGCAGCGAGCCGTCGTTCCAGTGATAATACAGCCGTTTCCCTGTACGCGGCATGGGCGTTCCTACAAGCAATCCACGTTAGTATTCTCCGTCCTAGATAGGAAGCTGTGATAAACAAAAGTCTCCACGTACACGAGAACACGGCGCACTAGTCTGTCCGTTGGAGCATGTACCAGTTCCACCATTTGTCGTGCACAGCTATCACAGATTAGCGTACACTCCCCGAGAATCATGATTGTACACGACATACGAATTGTGCGATTGTGCCTGGGGCGAGGCAGAGGAGAGCGGCTGCGATGAAGAACTTCATGGTGTTTGTTTGTTTTTTTGGAAAAGAGATGATTGGTGATGTTGTGAGCAAGAGTAGAGGTGTCGATAAGAGGCTGTTGTGATAATGAGAGATGGACGACAAGTTGTGTGTGTTATGTAGTCTCGATCTTGCCTCTCAGTTATAGTCTAGACCAGCGCCCAGTGGACTAAATTCTGATTTACGCTAAGTTGCTAAGCACCATTCGTATACTACCCTTTTGAGAATGAGACTATCTAGGGTTTTTTAGACATGCGTAGCGTACCCGGTTAGAGCAAGCTATGGTGATTGGTCTGAGAGCTACATTGATACTAATCAGAGTAGGGCACGTTCTTTCCGCTCATTATTTACTGATCAATGATTGCGTGGCAATAGCAGATTTTGTCTGAACCTAGACATACCCCTCCCCTTCTTCTCTTTACCGTCAAGCCAACTAGCTTCTGTTAGATAGATTTTCGAATAGTGCTGACTGAAATAGGGTTCTAGTTTGCGTATTTCGTAAGCCCAAAGGGTACGGCTCTTCTTCAAGATACTCAGCTGACATGTATGAGCACTACGCAGGGGCTTCAAGTGGTGAACACGAGCTCGTATGGTGAGACAAGATGGTTCGCTTGACTACGTAGGGGTTTATTTGATCACCTAGCCTAGTGATACTACAAGCTAATACATTACCTATTCCCTAGTAACCTCCAGATCAGCAGACGAGGCTCTCAGGAAACCAAATGAGTTTCTTCATCCAAAGCCTGTATTCACAATCAAATTCACCTGTACCCTAACCTGATAAGTAGAACTATACAGTGTTCAAGATCAGTGTAGCTGATGTTCATTGTGTATCAGGAGCACCAACACAGTATGCCGTGGCAAAATAAACGGCTCAAATCAAGAAAAACAAAAATTAGTCCTCAAAATAAGTAGAATGCAGTGCTGATTGTGATGATGACCCACGGTCTCGGGGCTAAAGGGAAGTGTGTTCCGCCAAGGCGCCATGCCCCATTAGGCAAGGCTAACTAGCCCCACCACAAAGTGCGCGCGCGCCTTACAACCACCTCAACCTCAACGCGTCGTATCCCCACCACCATGGCTAATATTGAGGCTGCGCTTGCAGCTATTAATGCCCTAGGACCTGATGAGCCTTTTTCGTATACAGATATTGCAAAAAAATATAGTGTTGTTCGATCTACGCTTACCTGAAGACACCAAGGCCTACACGCCTCACGCGCGATAGGTGGCCAAAAACGGCAGCTCCTCCACCTATAGCAGGAGCAGGCCCTAATCGCCTATATCAATCGACTAACAGATAGAGGCTTACCACCTACTTAGCCAATAATACGCAATTTTGCCTTATAGATCGCCAAGACTGAGGTTGGAGTACACTGGGCTAGTCGCTTCGTCCAGCGCTATCCTGATCAACTTACCTCAAGGTAGGCAAAAGGCCTTGATAACTGTCGCCACAAAGCAGATTTAAGAAGCAAATACAACCTCTACTTTAGCCTCCTACGCGATAAAATTAATCAATATCACGTCAAGGCGCGTCATATCTACAATATAGATGAGAAGGGCTTTATGCTTAGTATCGTAAGTCGTTCAAGGAGGATCTTTAGTAAGGCCTCGTACGAGGGCATAAGGAGGAGGACTACGATACAGGATGGCTCACGCCAGTGGATAACGCTGTTAGCCTGTATCTGCGCAGATGGATCTTGCCTTGAGCCTGCCCTNATATATCAATCAGCCTNACGGATCGATACAGGACA